TATATATATATATATAATTAATGATAATAAGTGGATGATTATTAGTCTTTTCCTCCCTGCCATCTGCTTGAGAATGTATCCACCCTGTACAAAGGGAGAACAAAACATAACATTTGATACTTTCAAGCACCATGCATTAAATACTGGAACATAATTTTTACTTGGAAAAGAGTTCATTTTAGTGAACAATAACAGTATAATGTAATAATGAATTAGAAAACTTTGGCCTAAATGAAATTGTGCCCAAATGAATACAAGGTTAACAATTACTTGACAGAGTTTAGATAGAATAAATATTTTTTAACATTTTTCTACTGAGAAATTAAGGTTATTGGGTCTATAAATACAATCATAAAAAAGTCATAAACTGTGTGGAAACGGAAGGAATAGAAATGTTACACAATACTTTTTATCTAAAATATGTAACTTTTCAACATCAGCCAAACCTACCAATCGGTGAATATTTTCAAATTGAGAAAAAACTTGAGGGAAGTCCTTCATGAAATAATTTTACTGATTTAATCCTAAACCTATTAGAACATTTTTAAAGGTTTGTTTTTTTAAAAATTTGGGAAATCAAAAGAATTCAAATTACTTTGGAATTACTTTGAATAAATACAAGATACAGTTTTTCTGTCTTCACTCATGCCTCACACCAAGAAAATGTCCTGGGTTGGCATGAATATAGTCATTAAGATGAAGTTATTTCCTAATTAATTGATATTTTTTTTCAAAACAAAGACCACATTTTGATATCTAGGGTATAAAGGAAATTCTAAAGCCTAAGAGCAGTTTCTTTGCTTTGCCAATTTATTTTTATTTTTATTATTTGTATAAATTTATGGGGTACAAGTATAATTTTGTTACATGTATAGACTGCATAGTCGTGAAGCAGGGATTTTAGGGTATCCATTACTCAAACAATATACATGTACCCATTAAGTAATTTCTCATCATCTACCCCCTCTCCACAGCCTCACCCTTTTGAGTCTCGATTGTCTATTATTCCACACTTTATTTCCATGTGTACACATTATTGAGCTAGCTCCCGCTTATGAAAACATGTGATATTTGTCTTTCTGTGTCTGACTTGTTTCACTTAAAATTATGGC